CCCTGTGCCCGAGAGCCTCTCCTCATCCCAGGGAGAGGGCAGCTGGAGGCCGCCTGGGCTGGCTTGGAGCCTCTCCGGCTCCACAGACAAGCGGGATGCAGCCGAGAGGAGGCTCCGCTGGGCTGGAAGGCAACAGGGGGAACGGGAGCTCGGGCATGTCCCTCCTGCTGGGCTCCCTGTCGGCCTCACGTGGGGTGTCTGGTCGGGGTGAGCGACTCCCACCACCAGGATGTCTCTGCCCGTCCCTGCTGCGAGCGCTGGCGCTCGGTGCTGGGACAAGGTGCTTCCTGGCTCTGCTCCTCTCTGGGATGGGCTCCTTCCCTCTGCTCGCCTATGGCTGGGCTAGGAGCCTCCTTAAACTGTTTGCTGCTGCGGGAGCTCAGTGGCGGGGATGGATCGGGCACCTGCGCTGGAGTCCTGCTGCGACTTGGCTTCTTGGCACACGTTCATGCAGCTGGGGTGGAGGCTGTTGCTCAGGCTGTTGCTTAGCCCTGTGCGGCTGAACTGTTGCTGCTCGGAGGGCCTGTCCTGGGCTCGCAGCAAGGACACTGCTGCTGTGTCCCCCCAAGCTGTGCTGGAGGCTGCCCTGCACCGTCCTGGTGCAGGGGCTCATCCCAGCTGGGGCACAGGCTCCTTCTGTGCGGGGTGCATGAGGTCTGTGCCTGTGTCAGCCCTGCAGGGTCCCTGCCCTCTCCTTCCAGGCTGCAGGAGGTCAACTCCAAGTTGAACAAGCGCCTCAAGGATGCCCTCTTCACCGACCAGTGGAGCGAGCTCTTCATGGACGTCTTGAGCCCCTTCTCCTTTGTCCTGGTATGGAGCTCAAGCTGGGCTGTGGAGCTCCAGGGAGGGCTGGAAGCAGCAGAACTGACTGGAGGGACAACCTGTAGCCAGCGGGAAAGTGAACTGAGGGCCAGCAGGGCAGCTCAGCAGCATGCTGCAGCACCCCTGCCAGCCTGCTCCCTTTTCTACTGCCTTTGGCTTCACCTGTGATGCTTTAGGGCATCTGCAGCTGCTGCCACCGTGTTGCACTAGGGTGGGAGGTGAACGTGGGAACAAGCCTGAGGTGGGTTCTAGGGCTGGTTTGGCCCCCCCAGGTGCTTCTAGGGCACTGCATAAGCCCTAACATCCCTGGAGATCTAGGGGCAACCCATGTGTCCTGGCACGGCTGTGTGTCAGCCCCTGTGTTCGTTGCAGGTGAGCACAGTGCGCATGCAGGGCTTGTTCCTGCTCCTGTTCGCCAAGTACCAGCACCTGCCCTTCCTGCGGGACATCCAGACGGACTGCACCAGGACGGGGCTTGGCGGCTGCTGGGTGAGTGCGGCGCGGGGCGCTGCGCCGGGGGCCGCGTTCCCAGCGAGCCAGCGCGCTCCTCTCGGCGCAGGGCAACAAGGGCGGCGTGAGCGTGCGGCTCTCCGTCTTCGGCCACATGGTCTGCTTCCTCAACTGCCACCTGCCCGCACACCTGGAGAAGGCCGAGCAGCGCAAGCAGGACTTCGCCACCATCCTGCACATGCAGCAGTTCGAGGGGCGCGCGGCCAACGGCATCCTGGACCACGAGTGCGTAACCCCCCTCGCTGCCTGCTCTGGGCCCCGGGGCCAGCCCGGGGATGGACACTGCGGAGTCATGGGGCTGCCCCGTGGCCTGGAATGGCTGCACCAAAGGGGTAGGTGGCACGTGCAGGCGTGGGGCGGCCCCTGCCATGCTGGCGCTGGAGCCCCCTGAGCGGCCGGT